TGACTTACCAGTGTGGCAGCTGAAACCAGTGGGGGTGCCTCCAGAATCTTATTTACAGAATTCCATGTGATATCAACATATACATTGCTTTCAGATTCCACAATTGTGTCCTCCATTGCAGCAGCTCTAATAATCTCATACTGAGCAAATCCTTTTGTTGTCACCTAGAATGAACACATTTAAAAAAAACATTTAAAATGTCACCACAACACTGATTATTTTATACACAGGCAAAATGTTTTTAAAAACATTTTAAACAGACACAAATAGGTATAATATCAGATAAATAAATTACAGCACAGGGAGCTCAACTGGTACTTCAAAACAGATTATTATAGTATGGAATCACACCTAAATCCAAACCCAGAGTTTTTAAACTTAAAGGTTTGACAGACTGTAAAAACTTACAACAGATGAATGATGTTTCATTTTATGTGCCATTTTTAGCTCTTCCAGATTTGCAAAACAGGCTTTATCAGCTATAGGACCTAGGAAAGGAAAAAAGCAAGAATCATAAAAAACTTTTAGCAGTTCAAACGTGGCACTTAAAATTAATTCTCAAATCCTCCAAGTAGGACTCATCTTGTCCTTCAGAAAGCAGACATGCTTCCTTTATTTCTCCTAAGAGCTGCTGTTAGCGCATAAACCTCTACTCAGAGTCAGTACTTGTATACAAAGTTGAACGGCAGCAATTTACATTTGCTAAGTTATTGCACCTGAGTTAAGCAGGATCTGCACAGGCACTGCTTAACTAAGTGTGCTAAAAAGTTATTTGCTCCATATGGGTTAAAAAACCAACTTTTCTTTCTCTTGGTTTTTAAAACAAGGAATTTGGAGCAGCACCAGGCCCACATCCCACAAAGGACAAAGATAACATCACTACATCAATATTCCCACATTTTTAAGCCCTCCTCATACAATCCTGTGTAATGTTATACCCTTACCATCGCATGTAACCATATAAAGATTGATTCCTGTGATCTTGTTTCCAGCTTTAAGGGGCTCAGCTCCAAGCCAACAAGTATGTTCAGGATCAGAACCATCACACCTTATCCAAAGAGGAGGAAGCACAATCAGGTCACTGATCTTCAAGTGGGTCATATTTGGATTTTGTACCATTGTATATAAGGAAATCAACTGCCTAGGTACATGGACAGGAAAAATAAAAAGATGCCAGTGAGTACAGCTAAATCTCTTACATAAAACTTAAATCTGATTTACCATGCTTCATTAATGAAATGAAGCAGATAATTTTGCAAAGAGAATGCAGTGTTACCATCATGTTATAGAACAATAAAGTCACAAAGAAGGAAAATATCATAACTGAAAATATATTTAATATTATCTTTTAATTTAAAGATTCTTAAATTATATTTGAGCCTTACATTTTAAGCACATTAAAAGGATACGTTAGTTAAGCAAACTAGTCACTACGGTTTAGTGTCATGCCTTGGTATTGTACTGACAGCCAAAGACCCTATCAAATCTTTTTATATTTCCTTTCAAACAGAACTCTTAAAAAACCAAGGCCTGACCTCTCAGTAAACCTTCTTGTTGATCTACACCCAGATAGTCCCATTAACCTGACGGGGACCAGCTCACAAGTGCTTCTCCAGTACCCTGAGCTTCAGCTGCACTTGGTTAGGAACACTTCCAGCCAGGGGAGGCCATTTTGCAGGAGGAAAAATGGTCTTATCTCCTCCCTAGCATAATGTAATTGTGGGGAGACTGAAAATAACACAGGTTCTGAATATTAGGAAGAAAGACAAAAGTTGCAGAAGAACATGACATCAAAAGCGAGGCAGAACTTTGATACTTACTTTGCTCTTGTGACAGAAAGAGCAGCTGGTCCAGAACTCTCCTTTGGCAAAAGCTCAGAGGCATAAATAGAATCATCTGGTTTTAATTCACTCATTGAGTCACTGTCTTCATTGTGTCTCTTTAAGAGAAATGCAGAAATAAGTAAAAAAATCCAATGCAGGAAGATATCTGGTAAGAATTCAGAAGTCTAGATTACATTTTAAAAATGAACAAGAGACACTTACAGCTTTCTGCAAAACATAAATCTTATTGTTTCCATTCCAAAATCTTTCAACGGGACTTTTGCAACTACCATCAACCAAAGAGATCTCTACATCAGTCTGAAAAAAGAAATAGAAATTGTTGATACACTACTGCTACATTTCAGCAATTTTGCATACCAGAAATTGTAAAATTATCTAATTTTACAAACTGTTTCCCAACCTTATTTCAGCCACTCATTAATTTAAGGATTTCTTACCTCAGAAGAATGCAATGCCTGCCACAGGTGGAATCCAATCAACTGTAAAAATGCACCAGCTTTCAACTAACCAACATAGGAAATTTAACCCCTGAAAGGTTGATTCTATCAGAAACTGAAGTATGGTTCAAAGAACAAAGCCTCAGATATGAGGGATTGCTGTTGTCAAGTAGCAACTGCAGTCACCACATATCCTTGAGGGAGAATAGCTACTTAAAGTAACATTAAATATCAATTGATTGCTTCTCTGAATGTCTCTCAAGAGCTCTAAACACTGTTTGGAGACATTAAATAACTTAAGCCTGTTCTCAGGAATGAAGGAATATCAATCTTTATTTGGGCTTTTCCACACAGAAAAGCATTGCTTAATTCTTCACATCCAGTACATTTTCACACTGCTGTAATTTAAACAACCACAATTTTATTTTCAAACTTATACAAAATCCCAAGATGAAAACAGTTCAACAGCATTAGAGATTTTGCAGCCATTCTTATGCTCCAAAAGCCATCAGAAGCAATTACTACATTCATAGAGCTATCCTATTCCCTACAGAAGAACATAGATAAAAAGTGTATCAAGAGAAGCTGCAAGTTTGAAGATACATGCATGAAAGCAGTACCTGAGGGCAGCTACTGCAGGAGCTTTCCCTCCTCCCAACAGCCACACACCGAACCTTCTCATAACCCCCCGCCTCGCACGACCTCCACCCATAACCCTCTCACGTGTGTTGGATCCTTACAACCGTTTAACACAAGTGGTAACAGGTGCAAAAAATCCGGGTAAAGGCAGGAATGGGAGGAGTAGGAAGGGAGGGCAGGACACGGCAGGAATGGGAGAGAAGGAATATGAAGGGGAGAGCAGGGATGGGCAGGGAAGGCAGGAGTGGGATGAGCAGGGAGGGGAGGGCAGGGCAGGGCAGGAATGGAATGGGAGAGGAGGAATAGAAGGGGAGAGCAAGGATGGGCAGGGAAGGCAGGAATGGGAGGGCAGGGGCTCAGGTGCCCGCGTCTCCCCCGCCCTGAGGGAGGGGCAGCCCCAACGAGGTATCACTGAGGTAAACTCTCCGTTTTATGCGACATCCCCGCCCATATCGCAGCTGTGGATGAACCGCCGCACGTTTTCAACACACAAACCCCGGTTACACCACAGCGTTTTCACACATTTACCTCAGAGAAACACGGATTTCGCGTTTATATTTGTTTACCTCAAAGAGATGTTGCTTTCCAGGGATACTTTCCCTCCCTTCTTCATAGATTCTGAAAGAAAATGAAACATTGGGCTTTTTTATTTCGTCATCCCTCATTAAGCTTAAACACAGAGAATAAAATGACGCAGCTCCACAAGCAGAGACGCGGCAGCCCCGGCACAACGCGCGGCCCCAGCGGGCACCTCC